ATAAAGAAGGCTGCAACTGTTTAAACCCTTTACATGCCTTTAGATCCAGGGAATGAGTGAAGAAGGCCGAGAGTGAAAACCATGTGTGGGGCAATGAGTTCTTCAAAATGCAGAATGCACATCTTTTCTAAAAAGATCACTGTACATGGATCAAATAAAACACTGCCCCCCCCCCTCCACTGGTACTGGGCATTGAATCCAGTCTTTGCAATGAGCTACAACCTCAGGTACTCAGTCCCCATTCCCCCTTTTGAGTCAGGGTCTCACTAAGCTTTCTAGACTGGACTCAAACTTCTGATCCTCCTGCCTCAGTCTCTCAGAAAACACTGTTCTTAAAGTAAAACATTTCAATGGTCCACACTAGTCCTATACAGTATCAAGATCTAATGCTGAATGAAATTCCATACCAGCACAAAGACTCAATGATCTGTCCTGGTCTGTTCAGGACTGAAGGTCATGGAGACTTGGGATTTTGTGTCTTCTGATAACTCTAACCCACATCGCCAGTGCTCATGAAGGAATGTGAGAAAGTGCTTAGCAGAGGAGTGAAGTTCCAGGTTCAAGAAAACAGTCAGCTCCCCAGGGGGTGGCATGGATGTGGGGAAATGCATGCCTACCTTCAGGGGGTATGTTAGCTTCCTATCACTACAACAAAATATCTAAGATAATTAAGGTAGACAAAAGGTTTTTTTGGCTCACAGTTTTGGAGGTTCTTGTCATTGATCGAGTGGTGCTATTTCAACACATCATGGTGGGAACATGTGGCAGAGCAAACATCTCATGGCCAGGAAGCAAAAGAGAAAGAGGAAGAGGGCAGCATTCCATAATCACTTTCAAGGGCAATGACTCAAGAATCTTCCATATGAACACCCCCTCCACCCACCCAAGTTCCACCACTTCCCAGTAGCACAACCCTGGAGATCAAGCCTTTTAACACATGGGCCTTTCTAGTTTGAACATTCAAGATCCGAACTATAGCAGAGGGCACAGTGTTGTTAGCCTCTGAATAGTCTCTAATGAACAGATTTCAGATGTGATGCAACAAAGTGCTACAGCTGAGAATTTAGCTAGGCATGTTGCACATTTCCTCTGAGGACAATTCTGGGACTAGCTCAGGCACAGAGTGTACTCATGTGGCTTCAGGTCCCAGTGCACATGCCAGAGAGCCCTGTACAGAAGTGATATTTTGACAGTTATAAAGTTACTTTGAAATAAAATACAGTAGGTTAGGATCTCCTGGTGCTTTCCTGTGCAATTTCAACTATGTTCAGTATTGAGTCTGAACATCTCTCATTGTACAGACAATTTTTAAATTTTTCTTAATGGCCATACATGACAATAATTGCTACCCTTCCCATTTTTGAGCCAGGGTCTTGCTATGTTGTCCAGGTTGGCCTTGAACTCCTGGGCTTAACCAATTGTCAGCCTCTGGAGTAAGTGGGACTACAGGAGCATGCCAGTATGCCCAGCCAATATCCCTTTTACTGCAGTGCTGAGATGCAGAGAAGTCCACTCAGGATTTTCCAAATGACATGTTTCCCATGGTCAGTCACATCTTTGTGTGGTGCCTCCAAGATTAGAAAGGTAGTAGCCGGGGGTTTAGCTCAGTGGTGCTGCTGCCTGCCTCACAAGTGTAAGGTCCTGGGTTCAATCCTTGGTACAAAAAAAAAAGAAAGGTGTTCCTGCAGTTTTGTCTCTCATCTTATACTAAGTTCACATTTTCTTCAACCATTTTCCCCATTTATTGAAGATGGCAAAACCCCACCATCTAGAAATTGTGTACCATCTTGACCAAGACTGAATTATATCAATTTATTTTTACCTTCTAGTTAGAGGACAGGTGTATGTGGCTTTGAAGTTAACAGCAAGGGCTCTGATGTCACATGCTTGAATGGGAATCTCATTTTGGCATTTTGGTAACTTCATGTGACTCAGGGCCACCTATACCCTTAAAAGGCTAGGTTGAGGATTTGCTAGATAAATTATGATCTGGATTATAGTCCCTTTGGACTAAATATCTCCTTTCTTCCTAATTCCTAAACCAGTATTTTGTGAACTTCTCTGCTTCCTGTGTTAGTCTGTTTTGTGACAGAGTACCCAAGAGTGGGTCATTTGTAAAGAAGAAAGATTTCTTAGTGTTCTGGAGGCTGGGAGGTTTCACCTTGCCAGGACCTTGTTGCTGCATTATCTCATGGTGAAAGGCAGAAGAGCAAGAGAGCACATGAGAGACAGGGTAGGAGAGGGGCTGAGCCCTTCTCATTATCAGGAACACACTCCCACATAACAGTACTAAAAATACATTCCCACTTCCTACCACTCTTTCATTTGAGGTGCAATTTCTAACATCTGTACTTTGGGGAACACATTTAAAGCATATTTCTTCCTAATCTTAAGAGTAAAAAGCAAAGATGGACTGTTTATGTAATTGCTCTGTTCGATAGATTCCTGTAGAACAGATGAAGAATGCTCTATTTATGTGTAGTTTACTGACAAATTAAAACCATGACCTTTTGAACGATTTAAGATCAATAAACATCATCTGAAACTATTTTTAAATGACCAATAGTTGCCTCAGCCAAGGATCTGCCAACATTTTATGTAACAAAGCTATAAAATACTACAGCTAGTATTAATAATAGATACAAAGAATTTAGTAATATTGGGGCACAAAAATCATTCTTGAATTTTAGAAATGTTATCCCCATAAATTTTAGTAAAACTGTAAGCTTTCTGGGTGCCAAACTACTAAATCTTATTTTACAAGCATTTAAAAATATGTTTTTGAATTGTATTGCCTGGTAGGATTATAGAGTTCAAGTAAAATTACCATGTTATCTGGAATCTAGACTTCAAAAGGCTTTATTAAGAGTTTGTTCGGGCCGGGGATTTAGCTTAGTGGTTCCAGTGCCTGCCTCGCAAGCGCAAGGTCCCAAGTTCGATCCCTGGTACCAAAAAACAAATTAAAAAAAAAAAAATTTGTTGGTCTCTCTGGAGGTTCCCCAGCTTATACATTTTTGAGAACCAAGGTACATGTTTGTCATTAAGGATTTAGAGTTTATAAAGATAGGAAGAGAAGTTTTATAGCCTCTTCATATCATAGACTGACATAAAACCTAAAAGTGGTTTACAGTAAAGTAAACAGATTTGTGGCAGGATTTCCTACTAGAATTATTGTAATCTCTGGTTCCTAAATAACATACATTTAAAAATGATCTGATATACAAGTTGATATAAAATGCAGAATGTAATATATTTGATATATTATTTAAAATGTGTCTAATGGAGCTGACATTTTAAAAGAAGAAAGGGCAACTGAATTTAAATATAGCCTATAAAAGCATGGTATCCTGAGCCTGCTTTAATCTGTCAAAAGGTAAAAAAAAAGTTTAATAACATTTTATGCTTTAAACACTAAATTTTTTAATCTGAAGCATTAAAATAAACAAAACAAAACAAATGATGAGACAGTCCATAAGCAATAAAACATTCTTGGTAACTTTCTAAAAATTAGGCTTGTACTTTACTATTTATGTTAAATAAAGAGACGAGTCGAGTGTGGTAGTATATTGCAATCCCAGCAGCTCAGGAGGCTCAGGCAGGAGGATAACAAGTTCAAGGCCAGCCTGTGCAACTTAGCAAGATGAGGGTTGGGGATTTAGCTCAGTGGCACCGCGCCTGCCTTGCAAGCCCAAGGACCTGAGTTCGATCCCCAGTACCAAAAAAAAAAAACTTAGCAAGATGAGACATAGAAAGAGGGAGAGAGGGAGAGAGAGGAAAAGAGAGTGAGGGAGAAAAAGAGAGTAAGAGAGAGGGGGAGAGAGAGGGAGAGAGGGGGAAGGGAGAAAATTACAGCCCATGAGGCCAGTTTGGTTACTGCTTGTTTTGTAAAATTTTATTGGAACAAACCTATCCCCATACATTTATGTATTGTTCTGGTTCCTTTTGCTACAATTAAGGAGTTGACCAGTTGCAACAGAGACCATAGAGTTCTGGTATATTGAAAAGGTCTTCAAATAAAATGAATAGTAAGGTCATTATTAAAAGGAGAAAAATACCCCTAAGCACTTTGGTTTAAAAGTAGCATTGTGAATATTTAAATATATTTTCTTTAGAATTTCATGGCTGGAGATTTAGCTCAGTGGTTTCGCGGCCTGCTGTGCAAGCACAAGGACCCGAGTTCGATCCCCTGTACCAAAAAAAAAGAAAAAAAGAATTTCGTTTTAAAAAACTTAAGAATAAAACATGCACCTTTCAAATCAGATATTTATCTGTTGAAATCTTCACAGGTAAATGACTAACATTTGAAAATCCTACCTCTTAGCAATACAGATGTTAACAGTTACTTAACTGAGATCAAACTATATGGTAGGCCAGTTAAGGGTGCTTAGTGGGGCAGGAGTTTCCAGTATGTTTAGAACCCAAAGAGCTATGAATATCAACTAGCAAGTCAGCTTTAAAAATTGCCGCCCACACATTTCCCTTGCCTCCAGCAGCAAGCAGCACAGTACAACAGCCTGACAGTCCAGCTGGACAGGCATACCCTTGTCACAGACTGTGCGACCATGACTGATACAGACGAGTTTGTTTCTTCCACCAAAATCATGAAGCAGAAACAAAACAGAACTAAACAAAACAAAGCTCAACAGCAATCATCATAAAAATTTGAAGAGAAAAGAGAAATAAGCATAAGGGTGGGAGGATGTTCTGCTCACATGGCACTTTCATTAGGAGGCTATTTTTGGAGCCACATTATTAACTGTTGAGTGGAGAAGGTTGTAACAAGCAGGTTGTAAAATGATAGTGATCCATTGTAACAACTGTAAGATCATCAGGTTATTGACAGAAATTTCACATGTTAAGCAACTCAAGTTTGAAGAAATTTTAGAGGCTTGAGGTAAAAATATACTCGAATCTGCAGTTGAATTTAACAAGATAAACTTCACTGAACATCACGCTACGTGGGTCACCAGGACAGAAAGCAAACGCCAGGTTACCTGAAGTACATTTATCAGCCACAGTGATTTATTGAGTGTTTTAATAATACAAGTGTACATCAACTGATCCACAGTCAAAAGTGGCAGGTCCCTAAGAAATTTACAAGCACTTTAAGTAAATCAAAATACATTATTATTTTTGTTCCATCCAATAGTCTTCTGCATGGGGAACAGAAGGCTAGTGATAAACAGGGTCTCAGTAATGCACAGTGATTCTGATTGAAGCTTTTGTACAAAAACTTGTTCCCAGTAGCATGCACCCACCAATAAAGACTTCAGTACAAAAAATTAACCCTAAGCACTACATTTAAGTAGAAACAAGATATAATTCTGAATTTGTGTTTTTCCAAAGATCACATAAAAGAAAAAAAAAAACAAAAAAAACCAACAGAAACAAAACCACACAGTAATACAAAGCTTTGTAAGAAAGCTCTTACTATTACAGATCCAACATCGTCTGCACTGAAAACAAAAGTTCCCATCCACATTGAGGTGGGGAAAAAAAATCCAAAATCTTTCAAGTTAACAGAAAAGGAAAAGAGAAAAGAGAGGGAGAGAGAAAAGGGGAGGACAGAGGAGGGAGGAAGGAGGAGGAAGGGAGTGAATAATGACATACCATCACAAAACAGTTCAAAATTTAATAAAACTAGGAAGATAAGAACCGAGGTCCAGAGGGGTGGTAGGGCTATTGATGCACTTGGTGAATGTGCTTGCACAGGTCCGGCAGGGGCAGCAGTGGCAGGCCCCTATGTGGCATACCGCTTGGTCCACTGTCTGGCCATCCGGTCATGCTCTGCTCTGTTGGTCATGTACTGTGTGGCAATGCTGCCCACCAGAGGGTCGGCTGTAAGGGAAGCAAAATCAGCAGTCAGCGAATACCCGTGCCTTTTCCTATTCTAAGTCAGGAAAGGGTATCCAGGAAGTTGGCCCTTGTTCAAGGAGGCAAGGAGCTGCTGCTCTAACCTGGAACATCACTACAGCAGAGCCAATGACCTGCCCAAAGACAATGTTTCACACAAAATGCCTGAAGAGTCATCCAAGTTTTACCGATACCTTTTGTCATTGTTTCTTGACAAGGCTTACTCTTTCCCTGTTTTTACCTTTTTCTTCCAGTGGGTATTTCACTGAAAAATATGCAGATGGGCTGTGGACTCTTCCAGGGTCCTTTAGGGTGAGATCTCTTGTGAAGAGGTTCAGATGACCTGGACAACTGTGGAGTTTACCTAGGGTTAACTCTGCAGGCAGTGGCTGCCCTCATGACCCTCATTACACAACCAAATAGTAGCTGTTAGATCAAGTGAAATGGGGGAGAAATGGCCTACTTCTTCCCCTAATCAAAATGCACACAGCTCATTATTACAAAAATACTGACAGACATTAATACATTAATAATAGGTAACACTTTTCACAATGTCCTAAAGCCTTAATATGTTAACTCTACAGATCTCTGAGAGAGCTGACACAGAAGGAAATGAACTTCAGGAGGGTCCGTCACTTGCCCAGTCTGGAGCAGAGCCTAGAGGCAGAGTCTACCCTCTGAAGTCCAAGGTACCTGGGGGAGATGGCCCTCTGACATCAGTGTTTAATCAAAACCAACCAACTACCACCACCACCACCACCACCACCACCACCAACAAAACAAAAAAGCAAAAGAAGAACTCCCAAGGTTCCTGGAAATTTCATAATCTATCCAATTCCTTCCAATTCTCTACTTTCATTCTTTCTCAGTTTTTATTTTCCTTACATTTGGTGTTGAGAACTTGGGTTTGTCAGAGGAGGCAGATAAGAAGGAAGTAAAAGGAAAGTCACAAAGCAAAAGCTAAATGTGTGTGTGTGTGTGTGAGAGAGAGAGAACTAGGTGTGGTGGTGGTGCAGGCCTCTAATCTCAGCACTCTGGGAGCCTGAGGCAGGAGGATCGTTAAGTTTGAGCCTAGCTTGGGCAACTTAGTGACACCTTGTCTCAAAAAAAAAAAAAAAAGGGCTGAAGATGTAGCTCAGTGTGAAGACCCTAGGTTCAGTCCCCAGTAAGACACACACAAACTCTCCCTCTTCCCCTCTCCCTTCTCTCTCTCCCTCTCTCTGAGTAGAGGATATGGAAGTATGTCTGTAGTCCAATTCCACTTGCTACTAGGGAAGATTTGGAGACTCTATAAACTAATAGACACTGACAGGTATATACTCAGTATTAAAGGCATAACAGGAATACCACCTTTTAACTGATCTGCTGCGGCATATTAAAAAGCCTCCCAAGGTTGTCTGTTATGGCTTGTGTCTAGAACTAACTATGAAGTCACAGGTGGGGCTTTTCAGAGGTGGCTGGATCTAGGGTGTGTGCATCATCTACCAATGATGGTGTGATGCTAGGATTAGAGCTGCCCCATTCTGGGTGTGAGTGGTATCTGCCCTAAGAGTGGGTAGCCTGGGTAAGATGTAAAGGACAAAAAGATGGTCACTGTTGTTGTCTTCTGCCCGCCATTAACTGCTTCTTTTCTGTGATGCTCCTCTACCAGGCCACCCTGCCTTGGAGGCAGCAGGCTAAGAACTAAAACCTCTACAAACTGTAAGCCAAATAAACCTTCCTCCTTTAACTTTGGGCGTCAGGTATTTTTGCACAACGAGAAAAGTAATTAAGATACTGACAATGAGAACTTGTGTAAGCTGGAATTATGCTAAGCTTGTTATAATTATTCTATGGAGAAAATAGTTTCCTATATTAGCAAGCCAGGCATGGTGGTACATGTGTGTAATCCTAACACTTTGGGAGACTGGGGCAGGAGGACTGCAAGTCTGAGCCCAGCTTGGGCAATTTAATAACTTGGTGAGATCTTATCTCAAAAGTTAAAAAAAAATTAAAATAAACAGAGTATGGAAGAGGAACTCCAGGGTCTTCTAGGGTGAGATCTCTTGAGAAGGGGTTAAGGCCCTGGGTTTAATCCCCAAACAACCAACCAAAACAAACCAGACTACCTTATATATGAATTTGCTTATATCTCTATCTCTCTTATTTTGGGGTGGTGGTGGTGGAGGGGATTTGAGACAGTCTCACCGTGTAACCCAGATTGAGGTAAGAGAACTCAGCTTCCTGGGTACTGAGATGAGAGATTACCGGGTTGCATCCCCAAGCCTGGCTTCTCTGCCTATTTTTTGGTGATTATTCTTCACTTTCCCAAATGCTGAATGTGAAACTTAACATGTTCATGATGGGACCGTAATTTGTATGTCTTGCTGCCAGTGGTACACGTAAAACTGCTCCACTGGCAGCATGAAACACTCCCATCTTGTGGTACAAGCTGCCTGATGGGACAGTCATGTATGTATTCCCTGTGGTTCAAGCCAGCAGGGACGCGTTAAACCAGTACAACCAGAATTCAAGAAGATTTAAACCAGCAATATTAAGGTGTAGACACTAAATAGCTGGGAATTGGCTAGGTTACTTTTTTTTTTGTATGGGGGATAGAACTCAGGTCCTTGCGCTTGCACAGCAGGCGGCGCAACCACTGAGCTAAATCCCCGGCTGGCTAGGTTACTTTTTAAAATATGGTCTTTCAGCTGAGACTAACAACTACAGAACTACAGTGCGGTCCCTGTCACATTTCTCTATCTTTGAAGCAAATCATCTTGTTCCAATTTCTGGCAGTCCAGAGTGCAAAGCCTGGGTTGAAATTTGGATATGCTCACCAGTTCAAGTCTACATCACGCAAGACAAGTTTTTCATGAAATGAAGCCTACCTTAGTGAAATACAGAAAAGATCCATCTGTACTGCCTAACAGGGGCTTACTATCAGAGGAATGAACAGTGCTATCAATGTTCTACCTAAAATTCTATCCTCACACAATGAGTACATACTAAGAACTTGGAAGAAACAGTTCTGTTATTTCAGCTCAAAGGAGGCAGAGGGAGACAAAATGGATAAAGGAAGAAAATTTCTTTCAGGGTTCTTTTACCTTTTTATTTTTGGGGATGGGGGTTTAGCTCAGTGGTGCCCATGCCTGCCTCCCTCCCAGAACTATTCTCAAGGACTGAGATGTGTAATGGATGTTGGAAAATGAGAAGAAAGTACTCAAATGGGAAGGGGAACAAGGGAGGAGGAAGGGAGAAAGGAAGGAAAGGACAAGAAAAAAAATGAAAATAGAAGGAAAAAAATGGAAACAAAGCTTTGTACATAGGGAGGGGAGATGACTTAAGGGGCGGAATGGGATAAAATAAAATAAAATTTATTAAAAAAAGAATTATTTTCTATTTATAAAACTACACATGCTACCTGTGAAACATCTCAGATAATATGCAAGATAGGGAGGCATGATAGTATTTATAAATTCATTCAGGAAAAACATTAACATTTTGATATACTTCTTCCTGTATTTCTTTTCTATGTACATAATATGAAAAAGGGCTTAATTTATACTCTACTTTTATAATTAAAAACACGATGTGAGGGATAACTTTTAAGCAATAATTATAGGTTTTCTTAATCATTTTAAATACTCTCCTGAATTAATGACCAATTTTCTGTTCATAGAGATTTTAGTGCATCTAAAAATTGTGAGAAATATTAGTGTGTATCTTTGGAAATTTACACAAATCATAAATTTATTTAATATATGAATGAATAAAATAAAAATATAAAAGGAATTTTAAAAAATCACATTATTAACCAAATAGGTCTTAATATTAAATGGTTTGATGAACAAAGTGAGGAGTCAAGTGAATGTATCAAAACTATGCAAAGTAGCCAAAGGATAGCACAGTGAATTTAATGGCTTGAATCACTCTTTTTTTTGCCTCTAATCCTAGATATTTGGGAGGCGGAGGCTCATGGGTTTGACACCAGCCCAGGGAATTTAGTGAGTCCCTGAAAAAAAAAGGATACTCTTCTTGTAGTCTTAGATGTGATCCTAAGTAAGGTAGAATATTGTTTTATATAGTTTCATCTCCATGGTGTCACATATACCAGGGATTAAATAAGTCTCCAAATCTAAGTTACTCAAATTCCCTAGACAATTTTGTTCTAAAAAGAAGGAAATATTTCTCATCAGTTGGGTTTCAAGATTGTATTACTTTCCCAAGTCTTCATTAATTTTTGAGGTTATTATTATATTTTGGCACTGGGGATCAAACTCAGGACCTTGTGCTTGCCAGGCAGACAGAGCACCACTGAGCTACATTCCCGGCAACAGCTAAATCCCTGGCAATACTTTGAGGTTATTTTCTATCACTTTTCCTCCTCTTTACCGATGAAAAACTACAAAATGCATCCGTGTAAAAGAAAATTGAAATCTAACACCTATATTTCCCGCCTTTGAAAGTAAGTTTCAGAAGAGAAACATGTTCACATTGACACAATAGGATTCAGTGATTTTGTTTTGGTTAGTAACTCCACACTAAGCAAGTCCTCTATCACTGAGCTACATTCCCAGTCCAGGAGGTTCGATAATTTTAAGCACAAATTCCAGTGTAGTATTTATTCAAGATTCCTGATGTGGAGGTACTGGACATACAGTGTGGTCAAGATAAAATCATGGGGTGGGAGTTGGGTATACACTGTCCTCCACTAACTAGATCAAAAGCTTTCCTATTATTTGTGAGCAAAATATAATCACATTACTTTACTTTAGCTCCCCATTTTTGAAATCTGTGTTATGTGCACCTTTGATTCTAGAAGAGAAAGCTTAGAGAATTCTCTCAACCCTATCTGAAGGCCTTGCCTTTCTCAAGACTGGTTGGAAGCCCAAGGGCTTTATAACTTCATCCACAAAAGGCAAGAGAGAGACATGGATCCATATTAAAAAGGTTAAGAAGCAAGTGAATGGTAAAAAAGCTGTATTAGTCACTTTTCCATTTCT